AACCTAGACCTCAATGTGAAAATTGTGGCTATCTCTTTCCTCGCAACCGTACCCTACGAATACATCAGCAACGATGTCACGGAGGTAGTCGTAAGTTCCACAAAGTTTCCATTTAGCAAAAGATGTCTCGCAACGTATTTATTCACGTGAAAATGCATTGCAAAGCATTTGTGACAGTGAAATAGCAATTCAAAATTCAATACTTACTGCAATATTTTTCTAACCTCAGTAAATAGCTGCTTATCATTTCTCGCGGTTGGTGTTTGGTAGTTACCGACGCGGTAATAAACGGAGTGACAGAATTTAAGCAATTAGCGCCCTTGCAGTCCGATGAATTGAAATGGTGATGACAATAGTGACAATAGGGCCATCATTGATGCATTAAAAAAACTGAAAAAATGCCAATAGGGAAACGAATGTTCTATTGCATCCTTTTCTACGCTTTCATCGGTTTTTTTAGCACAAAGGAAGAATGAAAAATGAATGAAAAAGAAAAGTACGTCATTCGATCTATGTAACCAAATGGCCATTAACTGCTCAGTTCGTTTGATTCAGTGAGGTGATATCTAGGAAATGTTCACTCTAGGCCAAAGAAGGAGATCCGCAAATTGAGGCATATTTGGCAGATATACGAAACCATCACGGTCAATGTTCATTGGGTCAACAAAATCACTCGGATAATGAGTCTCTTTTTATACCTGCTTGTTATCAACTTGTTGAATAAGATTGACGGTACAGCTAATTTGTGTATTAAAAATATAACTTTTACTTGAAATTGAGGAGAATATACGACAAAATATGTTTTCGAGAAAAAAAAAGTTGCTTCTATTCGATGAGTCTTGCATGAATTATTTCAGGGTTTATATAAAAAGATTTTCCATTGAAATTTTGGCACATTTAAAGGATACTTGCATTTCTTGACAAAATTTCGAAAATATCAAAAATATCTTTAGCTAGTTTTGATAAACGCTTTGATGAGGTAATTTGCTTACTCTAATCATAAACAATTGCCTTTAAATCTTGCTTATACAAATATGATGTCGTTAGTGAATTTTCCATGAGAGGATTAATTTGTCATTCTGGATTGTTGTCGGTTAGAGCTGCATCAGCATTCTGCCCGATCAATTAGATAATGACTTTGACAATAGGTTGTAAAATTTAAAAAATAAATATTTTGATACTTAAATTGATCAACTCATCAGTTTAAAAAGGAGTCTTTTTCGGCAAATGGGTTGGATAAACCATCAATCCTATATTCCGAAATGCAGCACTGAGATCAAAATTTACTAATATCATTATTCATTTAGTAACATTTCACATAATTCATAAGTCGTCTCACAGCATATTTAAAGAAAAGAATAACAGAAATTATGTTAATACCGATTTATGAAATGATCAGGAACAATGTGAAAAGAAATTCCATCGGTTTTGAAACCGAATATATCCGTTTACTTCCGTCACATTTTTTTTCCGAATTCGTTTTACTTTCCCTTTTTTGAACTTTAGCACTATCTTCAACAGTTTAAATCATTCATGTGCATCTTTTAAGGTACATTGATTTTTATTATTTGAGAATTTTTCCATTCATCTTTAATCAAGATGTGCAAAGGGATATATACACACATATCTACTGGTCGAAATTTCAGTAGTATCAGTTCTATAATGTAACATTCGGGAACTTTACTTGGCAACTATTTTGGCACTCTTAGCTTATCATTAATAAATTCTTACAATTCCTCTGAAGCATAAACGATTGTTCAATTTTACTAATTAATGTCGGAAAACTCCGGAAATCATAATGAAAATTTCCTGTCGGATTACCGAAATTAAGGCTACGTCCGAACGAAATCCCGAGATAGTTCGGTTTTTACCACCGGGCAGACGACCATACGGGGCAAAGGCAAATATGACAAACATTTTCAAACGCACAATAAACTATTTCGCTATCAATGCAAACATCCCGGTTGCGGAAATGAATTTTATCGATCATCGTCACTGTCCGCACACAAGAAATCCTGTCAGCACAAACCTCAGAATGAAAACTTCCTCAGTTCCAAGAAATCACTGAAAATCCTGTAGAGTTTCTCAGTTTTGCAAATTCGGCAGAGTTTTTATCATTTATTTGCCTATTTGAAATGAATACACTTGAAAATATGTTGCGGAATATTTATGTGGAGTGGAACAAATTGTTCACATCGTTTGACTCAATGAAGTCATATCTAAGAAATGTTCATTATAGATTCAGCGGAAGGAAATCCGCAGTTGGGACGCACTTTGGCTGGCATTTGAAACCATCACACTGCCAGTCAAAGCTCAATAAGTCAACAAGATCGCTCGAATAATGAGTATCCCTCAGAAAAATTTTTTTGACGATCTTGACATACCCGACGATGTTGTTGTTAACCTCCATGATTAACAACGACAACCTTAATGGTAACATCTTCGAATGTTAATATCTTTATTCGAATATTTGCTTTCCAATTCTTTTTTAGTATTTCAAACAGGTAAAGCCTAAAAATAATATGCATATAAAAAAACAAATTTCGATCGACATTAAAAAAAACGGAAAGGAAACAAAAAAAGAAAAAAGAAAAAAGTACTGTAATAAATTTATACAAATTATCTAAATCTGAAAAAAGTCTTTTAACAATTTTTTTTGTGATATTTGTAATTAAACTATTTGATTTATTCGTTGAATTTATTAGTGAAATTTTTCTTTCGCTTCCTTGTTGAGGAAAATATTTTTATGACAAGGGATGTAGAATATTTCATCTGGTAAGGGTGTCACATATAAAATCGTTCGCCGATGGCAAAACATTCCGTATCATTTGGCGATCAATATGAACACGAGCAAAGGTATAGCGCGCAGAAAAAGAAAGGAATTATTTTTGTTCGTAAAAAACAAAACAGAAATTT